GAGGCAGTGTCTTGCTCTGTTTCCCAGCCCGGAGTGCGGTGACGCAATCATGACTCACTGCAGCCTTGGACTCCCGGGCTCAAGCCATCCTCCCACCTCAGCTTTCTGAGTAGCTGGGACTACTCAGCTACTGAAGTAAAACTTTTTTACTTTTTTGAAGAGAAGGGCTCTCCCTATGTTTCCCAGGCTGGTCTTAAACTCCTGGGCTCAAGTGATCCTCCCGCATTGGCCTCCAAAAGTGTTGGGATTATAGGCATGAGCCACCCCGCCCAGCCAGGAATGGAATTTTAGAGAGAAGGTCAGCATAAAACAAAATACAGAGATGATGTGGAGCAAAGAGATAAAGCAACTGACCATCTCGAGTGACTGTATATTTGGGGAATAAAATTCATCAACCACTTCCCCTCACTGACAGAATCAAACTTTTGCCTAAAATATGATCTTCTCCATATCTGCCCCTTGCTTATTCCTTATTCTCATTTTCCCCTCCCATCTCTAAACCTGCCTTCCTTCCATGTTAAAGAACTTGAAGAGCCCCAGCATTCATTTATTCAATCAACAAATATTAATCCCTACTATGGGTCAGACACTGTGCTGGAAGGGAAGACTATGGCCCTGCCTTCATTGATTTTAAGATTTAATGGGATGATATAAGTCAACAGGCAATTATAATGCAGCATGGTCAGGTGATAGGGCTATATAAGGTGTGAAGGCCAAGGAAGACTTCCACAGAAAGAAACTTTAAGCTGAGATCTGAATGATGAGTAAGAGTTAACCACGTTAAGCAGGGAGGAGGGAGGTCAGAAGAAGAACAGTGATGGGGACGGGGGGTGGAACAGCGTGTGCACTCCAAAGTATACAGTTCCTCCTATGATCAGATGCTAAGAATGGAGAGAGCTGAGGCTGGAGAACAGGCAGGGGCAGCTCATGCAGGGCTTTGCAAACCATATGAGGAAGGCTAGGCTTTAATGCAAGGTAAATGGGGACATTGGAAACATGGAAAGTGTGTGTCCAATTTTTGTTCTTGATAGATCACTGGATGTAGACAGTGAGTTGAGCTTGGTGGGGAAAACGAGGTCAGCACTAGAGGTAGATGACCAATTATGAGCTGGGGAGAAAGAATGGAACCTAAACTAGCCTAGAGGCAGTGACAATGGAGGAAAACTGATGTTTTCAGGAGATATTTAGGAAATTGAATGGACAGGACTGGGAACCTTGTTGGCTAGGGGATGATGGATGTGAAGGAGGGAGAGGGAGGGGTTGGGGATGATGGCCTGATGTTTTGTTAAATAGTTGGGTGGTACCATTCCGAGACAGAAAACACAGGAGAAGGTGGAGGCTTGAGGGGAGGGAGATAATGACTCTGGTTTTGGACTTAGTGAGTCTGAGGCATGTGTGGAACATGCAAGCAGTAGGCAGGGAGATCTGGAACTTAGAAGATTGATGATGGCTGGGCTCATCAAAGAGAGGTGATAAATGCAATGGCTGACAGTGGGGGTGTTAAAATGAGAAAGAAAAGGCAGCAGAAACAGCACTTGAGAAACAGCATACTTAGGGGAGAAGCAAGATACAGTACAGCTGTCTATGAAGGTGTGATTGCAGCTGTAGGAAACTCAGGAGAGTTGAGTCATCCAAGTAAAGAAAACAAAGTAGTCAAGAAGGAAGGGGTATGCAGAAGGAGCCAACCCTTCCAAGAAACTGAGAAAAATAAGGATAGTATCAATTAGGACAGTTTGGTTGCAGGTAACAGAAACTAATTTGGGTAAGGTTAAGGCAAAGGAAAAAATAGATTATAAAGGTAAGAAATAGCTCATGGACCCAAAAGCAAGGACTGCAAACAAGAACTGAAGGCTCTTAGCACCCTTGAAACTTTTCTCTGTGTATCTGCTGTATTATCTTCTTTCTACAGGCATCCTTCATTGGTTCATGAGGGTACATAGGAACTGGAAAATGGCACCTATGGTTCTGGCGGTATGGCTTTTCTGGTTCAAAAACTTGCTCAGATTAAACTAGAATCCCAATTCCAGAGCAAGGGTAGGAAAGAGGAAGAGAAGAAAAGAGGAAAGGAAAGAGATAGAGGGAAGAAAAGTGAGGAGGAAATGGAGGGGGGAGAAAGGTAGAAAGAGAGAAAGAGAAAGGGGAAGACAGAGAGCTGGAGAAAGGGAGAGAAAGTGATTTCCCTGGAATAAATTCAGGTGGCCATCCCTGGTCCAATCATCTACAGCCAGAGGAGAAGATCTCAGGTATAAACTGGGCCACTAGGAGTTGATCCCGATTGGGAAAGGGGGCTGTGAAAGGAGATATTAATAAATAAGCAAATACTTTAAATTAAGCTTCCTATTACAATAACTAAAACATATCCCTGAGATTTTGAGGCTAAAATGTACATGCCGACCTTGGCAAAAGCAGTTGCTTTTTTTTTTTTTGAGACTGAGTCTCACTCTGTGGTCCAGGCTGGAGTGCTGTAGTACAAACTCGGCTCACTGCAACCTCCGCCTCCTGGATTCAAGCAATTCTTGTGACTCAGCCTCCTGAGCAGCTGGGGCTACAGTTATGTGCCACCACATCCAGCTAATTTTTGTATTTTTAGTAGAGACAAGGTTTCACCATGTTGGCCAGGCTGGTCTCGAACTCCTGACCTCAAGTGATCCACCCGCTTTGGCCTCCTGAAGTGCTGGGATTACAGACATGACCCACCATGCCCGGGGGCAAGAGCAGTTTCTATGGAATGGTATCAACTAAAGTCAGTTTGCTGTGGGCTGAGGATTGGATGGAGGAGAAAGGAAGGCAGTGCATAGAGATGACCCTATCAAGTGTGCAGTGAAGGGCATGGGAGAGAGCTCATATTGAAGGTTTTGTTTGTTGGTTTGCTTGTTTGTTTTCTGAGCTCATAAGAATTGAACATATTTATATGCTGATTGGAGAGTATGAAGAATGGGCATACTAATCATTTTGGCATCTTGATAAACATGCAGAATCCCAGACCCTACCCAGATCTGGGTTCAGCTGGTGGAGGGTGGAGTCCAGGAACACAATTAGTAGGGTCCTGTGCAAAATGAAAATACAGGCCCCCCGTTTTATTTTCCTTTACGGGAAAAATGCCTTTGCCTTTATTCTGTGGTCTCTTTCTCTATGTGTCATTGTGGTTTTTATTTGTTATTAAATGTGTCACTCTCTCAGGAATGGGGATACTTGCTGGGGAAGTGCAGGCCTCATAGGGCATCCAGGGCCCTCTGCTTGGAAAAAGTTCTCAACATAATTATGCATCAGGAAAATGCAGATTAAAGCTACAATGAGATATTACTACTCACCCACCAGAAAGGCTAAAATTAGAAAGACTAACCATACCAAGTGTTGGCAAGCATGTGTTGGGAGTGTAAATTGGTTCAATCACTTTGGAAACTTGGAAAGTAACTACAAACCTACCTTATGATTCAACAATTTAACTCTATAGAATTGCACATGCTTATCAAAAGAGATGTATAAGAATATTTACAGAATTTTATTCACAATAGTCCCAAACTGGAAACCCTCAAATGTTCATCAATAGGGAATGGATAAACATAACATAGAATATGCATAGAGCAATATGAACCTAAAAATGAATAAATTACTCACATAATATCATTCATGGATATTACTCACAGACACTATGCTGAGCAAAAGAAGCCAGACACAAAAAAGTTTATACTGTATGATTTCATTTACATGAGGTTTAAGAACAACAAAACTAACTGATGATATAAGTTAGAATAGTATGTACCCTTTGCCAGGTGCAGGGGTTCAAGCTGGTAATCCCAGCACTTTGGGAGGCTGTAGCAGGCAGAGAGTCCAGGGGTTTGATACCAGCTTGGTCAACATGGTGAAAACTTGTCCCTACTAAAAGTACAAAAAAATTAGCCAGGCATAGTGGTGCATGCCTGTAGTCCTAGCTACTTAGGAGGCTGAGATGAGAAGATCACTGAGCTCAGGAAGCTGAAGCAGTGAGCCATGATTGCACCACTGTACTCCAGCCTAGGCAATGAGAATGAGACACCTGTCTCAAAAAAAAAAAAAAAAAAGAGTTGTATGTACCTTTGGAGGAGTGTAGACTGGAAAGGAGCACAAAGGAATCTTCTGAAGTGTTGGAAATGTTCTATATCTTGGTCTGATAGGTGGTTATGGCTATATACCTGAGTAAAAATTCTTCAAGCTTAACACGTAAGATTTGTGCACTTTACTGTAAGTTATACCTAAAAAATAAAAAAAAGAAATTACTCCACTGCTTCAATGCATTAGAGGAAGGAAATGATTCAAAGATTCCAGTGTAGGTTGAATGAGATGGCCTCTTTATTGATAGATCTTAGTGGTTATCAATGATGGAAGCATCGCAGGGTGATGTCTAGATCCTATGGACTCCTGAGGTTGGGTGACCCAAAACTGCTCCAATTCACTTCCTATGACAGCCTGCATCCTGCCCACTCTCTCCAGTAGAAGATGGGGTAGGGGAAAGGCCTTTTCTGGATACAAAGGTGGCCCAGAAGTGGTCATAATACTCTCCCTCCATTTCCCTTCTTTTCAGACCTGTGCAGTGGAGGAGCATCTTGGGATCTTCAAGGTGAGCATCTTAGAATCTGGGGTCTGGAGGCCACTTTCATGGGAGGTGAGAGCTGCTGGTCATTTCCAGGCATCTCCAACTCCAGCCTGCAGCCATGGGGTAGATGGCTAATGGGACTACGTGGATCTGATCAGGGCAATGTCAAGATCCAAATAAACTCCAAATTTGTACAGAGTGAAGGTACTGAGAGTTAAATTTCCCCTTCATTGTATGCTTCCTCCTGTCCTTTTAACACATGGGAGCAATGATGATAAGAATTGGCAGTTGCAATGAGGAAAGAGAGTGGCTGAGTGACTCTGCTGTTTCCTTTCCTGCACAACTGAAACCTTGATGTTTTCTGTGACCTGGAGATGACCACGCCCATCTTTGAACTAAAAACTCTAAATTCTACATCCTCAGAGCAAAGTGCAGAATTGGAAAAATTATGGGAATCCTTCATGGCATGTGGTCTTCTATCCAGGTGGCTTCAGGCCAGGAGTGGGGCTGCTTATTGGTGGGTATGATTTTGTAAGTATTGGTAGTACCCTCCACAAGGAGACAGAGTGTCACAAACTCAGGCCCTGATTTCCTGCCTGGATAGGGCTTCTCTTCTGAATATTTGAGATTGAGTAAAATAAAAAATTGTCACCAGGCTTAGTCTGCTCACTCCTTCTTTGTGGGGAGTTGGTTCTAGCCAGTCATGAAGTCTAGGTAGAGAACATGAATGTTTCCTTTGAGAAGCAGTACTAGCCTCATGTTTGCTTCCAGCATGTGTTTTGGGTCTTTTCCCAGAGGTTTCAATGAGGAATCGTGTGTCTCAGAGGTGAAAATAAAAAACAAAAATAAAAAACATTTGAGTTCTGCAAAACCACAGTGGATTGGAAACTATGTAGTTAGCCTTTTTTTCTATAAATACAATCTTTAAAAATTCAAGTGCTTTTGTTTTTTCTCTTACAAAAAAAATGTGGTTTTATATACACATTACATGCTGAGGGGCCAGGTGGGGGTGTGCAGAACAAGATGTTTCTCATGCCATTTGTTTCAAGCAATAACTCAGAGACTCTGGAGAAAATAAACCATACATAAATAGTAGAAAACAGACTGCATCTTGTTGCTATGGCAACGCCCTACTTATATTACATTAAGCTGATTCATGTCTTTTCTCACCTCACTGTTAATAAATTATAGTGGCTGATGAGAATTAAGCTGGCTGGAAGAGTTGGCATGGACAAGTTGCATATTAATTTGTCATCCAATTCTGGGTATCCCCTCGTCTTTTTTTCTTTTTAAGGGGGACACTATCTATTATCAAACAATGCATTTTTAAAAGATTATTTTTATTGTCTTTTTTTCACTAAAAACTATATAGACAGGAGTTTCAGCAACAGGACATCAGTTGCTTCCTGGCTGCTCCCTCAGTCTTAGGACTCTTGTGGAAAGAGAAAAGGCACAGGAACAATAGAGCTTCGAAAGTTCCTTTGTTTCTTTTCCTGCTCCATTATTCTCTTCATTCCAATGTGTTTAGGGGCTTTAAACGATCCCTCTACTCTTTTCAGCTGCTTTAATTCGTATACATCCCCACCTACACACACACACACACACACACACACACACACACACACACCCCAACAAAGTTAAAAGGCAAACAAGAAACTAGGTTAAAAGACAATAGGCAGTTGGGCGCGGTGGCTTACGCCTGTAATCCCAGCACTTTGGGAGGTTGATGAGGGTGGATAGCTTGAGCCGAGGAATTCGAGACCACCCTCGGCAACATGATGAAACCCTGTCTCTGCTAAAGATACAAAAATTAGCCAGGCATGGCGGTGTGCACCTGTAGTCCCAGCTGTACTCAGGAGGCTGAGGCTGGAGGACCACCTGAGCCAGGGAGGTGGAAGTTGCAGTGAGCCAAGACCATGCCACTGAACTCTTAGGAGACAGAGTGAGACCTTGTCTCAAAAAAAAAAAAAAAAAAAAAGACAACAAACCAAGAAAACTATTGGCAACAGATATAGCAATGAATAGGCTAATTTTATTAATATCCTAAAAACCAAAAACCAAAAAACACACAAACTTCTTACAAATCAAACAAAAAACTAAACCATACAAACTAACCAATGGACAACCCATCATAAAGTGGACAGAGGATATGTAATGTCAGCTCATTGCAAAAGTGAGACCAGTGGTCAACAAATATCTGAAAATATGCTCAATTTCAACAGCGATTAGAGTAATTAAAATAGCAAAGAGATGCAAATTTTCCTCATGCTAGATGAAGAAGTATTAAATAGCTATATGATTTGGGGCTAAATACGATAGGGAAAAAACAGGTCCTCTCAGATACTGTTTATATTAGTATAGTTTGGCCTAACTTTCATAACTAAATGTGGCTTTACTGATCAAAATATTAAATGCACATACTTGTTAAGGCAGCAGCTCTGCGTCAATGAATTTATTTATGAATATACTCGCATAAGTGTTAAAGATGTTTTCACAATGACTTTCACTGTAACATTAATTGTAATAGGAAAAAAACCCTTGACAGAATGTAAATGCCCATCAATAGATGACTGGCTAATAAAACAGATTTATACAATGGACTACTACCCAGCTGTTAAAAAAGGAATTTGCAACTACAGAAAGATGTTAAGAATATAACAAGTAGGCCAGATGCGGTGGCTCACACCTGTAATCCTAGCACTTTGGGAGGCCAAGGCAGGCGGATCACTTGATGTCAGGAGTTCAAAACCAGCCTGGTCAACATGGTGAAACCCCATCTCTACTACAAATACAAAAAATTAGTAGGGCATGGTGGCACGTGCCTGTAATCCCAGCTGCTTGGGAGGCTGAGGCATGAGAATCTCTTGAACCTGGGAGGCAGAGGTTGCAGTGAGCTGAGATCGCACCACTGCACTCCAGCCTCGGTGGAGCGAGACTGTCTCAAAAACAAAGCAAAATAAAACAAAACAAAAACAAGTAAAATTATCAAGTTTCAGGACTGTATGCATAACATAATCTCATTTGTATTAAAATATATTTTATAATATATATGCCATTATATGCATAGAAAATTTCTTGAAAGACCCACATAAGTAATTATTGCTCCTTTTATGGAGTGGGAACAGACAGTGAGAAGGTAGGGAATGAAAGGAATGGTTTGGGAGACTCAAAATAATTAAGAAAATTTAACTTTCATTTTCTTTGTTGCACTGTTTTAACTTTGTTAAACATGAAGATATATTACCTTTATGATCAAGAGCTTTTGAACAGTGTATGCACACGCTGTGTGTGTATTCATACATATATATCTGCATGTCATTTATTTGTCACCACGAGGGGTAAGAAGATGTATTAGATAGTTCTGCCCAGAGTCTAACTAGGAAGATGTAAATGTGTGGAAAGTTAACCAAAAAAAAATATAGTATCTACTAGCTATCACTCAGTAGATATTGATCACATCCCAATAATTGGTATCCACAGCGGTATTCTAGGAGGTAAGAAGAGGAAAGTCGCTACGACTGCAGTAAATACAGAAGACAAAGGCCTGAACATCTGGCAGCATCTGGGTCCCAGATACCCTGAAGATTTCATAAAGAGGAGTGCTTGTTGTTGATAAGAGTCAAGCTGGGTCAGCCTTGCAGATGACCAGTCACCCTCTGCAAGTTGTCTCTTTGGCTGCAAATGGCTCAAGACCATGCTGAAACTTATACCTGTTCTGCTTTTGGAAGCTGCTTGCTTGCTGACCGTAAAAAGTGTTGATGGCCTGTTTCTGTTAGGAAATGTCCAAGACCCTGTAGTATAGAGAGAAACTGCTTCATCATTAGTACTGACCTTGTGCATAAGTCAAGAACCTAAACTCCCTGTATGGTATTAATCCCTACCAACTGTACTGGGTGTCTGAAACTGCATTATTGGGAAGTTCCTTTGGTTACTTTGCCCTCTTGGAGAAGCTAAGAATTATAGTTAAGAACATGGAGTCAGATTGACCGGATATAAATTCTGGATACATCACCTACTAGCTGTGTTTCCCTAGGAAAATAACCTAATCTCTCTGTGCTGTGGTTTCTACTTCTGTAAAGTGGGGATAATTATAGCATCAACAACCTCATGGGCTGTTTGAGGAACAAATAGCTGAATAATCTACAAAATGAGAAGAACAGCTATTGGACACATAATTCACATAATTATCATTCACAATATTACTTATTCTTACCAGAGAGAAGAAGATCCTAAAAATTTCCAGAGAGAAACAACATTTACACAAAGCATTGAGAATAAGAAAATGACAGTGACATATCAACAGTAACACTGGAAACCAGGAGTAAAAGCAACAATGCCCACAAAATTAACTTCTACTTAGAATGACATGCCCTGACAAATCAAGCATGAGGACATAATAAACATATTTACGTAAAGTCTCAAAACTCAAGAAGCTACTTGTGTATGCACTCCATCAAAAAGAAGGACTAAACCAAGAAAGAAAACATAAAACTGGGAAACAGTGCTTCCACCACAGAAAAGTAACCAGGGGATTCCTAGGATGAGAGCTATGCTGCAAGCTAGAAAAGCAACAGAGTGGATCTGCAGGAGAAATGTAGAAAGGGGAGGCTGTTCAACAGGTTTGACTGTGTAGGAAATTATCCTGAGGCACTGTACAAAGCTCTTGGGAAATATTGGAAGACTTAGCAATACGTTCAGTAAAAACTAAACAAATGAAAAAATGAGGCAATGCATAACTACAAGAAAATCAAAGTATCTTATAGGAAAGAAAATGTAATTATAGTAACCACTCAACTCAGCAGTGTGCAAGATATCCTGAACATAAAACAATTAAGAATTTAACACAAAAAATTAACTATTTTGAGAGAATAGGGAGAAGAGTAGGAAATATTAGAAAGTTAAAATCCTCAACTGCCGTAATAGGAAAACAACAGGGAATACAGAAATTGATGACTCAAGAGAGGGCAGTACATATTTATTATTTGGAAATATGGTGATAAGTAACAGAAGAAACATTAAGCAGATGCCTTTGAGGGGTGTGGAGGCAGGGGCAGCAATGGTGGTGATTACTATTTTTTATATATCACTTTTAGCCCTATTTGACTTTATAAGCTATATAAATTTTTAAGTACTTTGCAAATCTAAGGCTTTGACACTTCTGAAATGACAATTCTTTATCCTTAAGCTCAACGTCTATGAAGCCCTGAGTAACTGATGTCTTAAAATAGGCTGGTATGTTTAAAGATTATGTTTTAACAAAGTGAGAACAGGAGAGGAGATGTATGCCTTTCATTATCATCACTTTTCATTTAACTCTCTAGATTTAGCCGCCTTGAGGTTCATTAACCCCTCAAAACTTTATCCTGCTATATTTTTATTTTATTTAAAATATGTTTAAGGCCATAGTAAAAGTTGGGAGAAACTTAAACCAGGAGAGTCGGGAGAAGAAAGGTCATGGCTCAACATCACATATGATATAGATATAATTAGCAAGTTAAATGTAATAGTATGATAAAAGATGAATATGCTTTGAGCAATTAGCATTATTTCAGGATGGCTAAAATTTAGGAAATTTATTAATATACTATGTTAATAAATTATATGAGAAAAAACTATGTGCTTATTCTGATGCATAGAAAAATGAGATTTGATAAAATTTAACATCTATTATTGACCAAACCTCTAAGTTAGGACTACATGAAATTTTCTTGACTTGAGAAGGAATACCTTTCGAAAACTAATAGTAAATATCATGTTTTATGGTGAAAAACTGGTGGCATTTCTCAATTTCTTGGAAAAGCCCATTAAGATCAAGAACAAAACCAGAAAGATCAGTGGTGTTATTCAGCACTACTCTGAAGGCCCTCACTGAAATAATAACACAAGAAAAAGAAATAGGGGGTTCAATTATCGGAAAGAAAAATCTAAAATTGTCGTTATTTGCAGATGATATGATCATCTATTGAGAAAATACAAAAGAATCAACTGGAAAACCTAGGATTAATAAGAAAGTTTGATAAAAAGTCAGATTACTAGATAATTATTTCCCCAGCAAGTTTCACATATGTGAAACATGACAAATTAGAAAATGTAAAGAAAAAAATTCTCATTCATGATAGCAACAAATACTAAAAGCTACCTATGAATAAACAGAAATTAAAAACACGATTCCCCATTTAAAATGTCATAGAAAATGGGGTAAAATGTAAGCAAATAGTGAAACTAGGTAAAGGAATATTTGGTACTATTCTCATGACCTTTCTGTACTTTAAAAATGGACAATGCTGAAAGGATAGTGATCGAACATAGAAAGGAGACACTATCTCACATCCCTAAGAAAAATTACCCCAAAAAGGGAAATTAGAAAGGTTGAGACATGGAAGGCATATCCAAAAGTCCTACATGGGAAAAATAAAAATTCCAGATGGAAAAAAGAATGATAGAGAAGATGCAATTATAAAAGAAGAAGAAGAAAAAACTTCCCTGAACCAAAAAAGTTTTCAGATTGAAAAGGCTCATGAAGTACCAGGCAGATGGCACCTCTGGACCCAACCAGGAACTGGAGGAACCAGAGACTAGCGGAACTTGCCAGGACATAGGCCTGGATGGCTTTGCCACCTGCTGATTGTAGAGTGCCAGAGCCTTGACCAAACATAGGCCGTGACCAGGCAGTGGATACAGCAGGTCTTGGGTGAGACCTAGTGCTGTGCTGGCTTCAGGTCTGACCCACAGCAGTCACAGTGGTGGTGGTCAGAGGGGTGTTTGCATCACTCCACCTCCAGCTTCAGGTAGCTCAGAACAGAGAGAGACAGACAGAGAGAGACACAGAGAGAGAGACAGAAAGAGAGAGACAGAGAGAAAAGGAAAGAGAGAAGAGAAAGAGAAAGAGAGAGAGAAGGAAGGAGAGAGAGAAGGAAAGAGAGAGAGAGATTGTTTGTTTGGGAGAAAGTAAGGGAAAGAGAGCAATTATCTGCCTGGCATTTCTCCCGGATCTTGTCCAAGACCATCAAGGTTGTACCTCTGAGAGTCTGCAAGAACCACAGTGTAACTAGGCTTGGTGTACTCCCTAAAGCAGATACAGCTTAGATCACAACACCCAAGTCCTTTCAAATATCTGGAAAACTTTCCCAAGAAGGAGAGGTACAAACAAGCCCAGACTGTGAAGACTACAATAAATACTTAACTCTTCAATGCCCAGACACAGACAAACATCTACAAATATGAAGACAATCGAGGAAAAACATTATGTTACCAAATGAACTAAATAAGGAACCAGGGACCAATCATATGGAGAAACAGAGATATGTGACCTTTCAGACAGATAATTCAAAATAGCTGTTTTGAGGAAACTCAAAGAAATTCAAGATAACACAGAGAAGGAATTCAGAATTCTATCAGATAAATTTAACAAAGAGATTGAAATAATTAAAAAGAATCAAGGAGAAATTCTGGGGTTGAAAAACGCAATTGGCATACTGAAGAATGCATCAGAGTCCTTTAATAGCAGAATTGATCAAGCAGGAGAAAGAATTAGTGAGCCTATATCATAAGGGCATTAATACCATTCATGAGGGCCCAACCCTCATGACCTCCCTAAAGGCCCCTCCCCCTTATACTGTCAGCTTCGGGACAAGACAAATATTAGACCATAGCAGGCAGTCACTGAGTGCACATTCTTTCAGTCAAACCAACACCAGTACCCTAGTGTAGGCTGTCCACCTGCAGCCTCTGTGGAGGGGACAGCTCAACACTCACTCTGGAAGCTAGCCATCCTGAGGGTGCACAGGAACTTCTCACTCCCTTCCATACCACATAGAAGTTGAGAGAGGCACAGTGTCTAACTCATGCTCTTTCTCTGCCTACCTTCACCATGGAACCATACTTATACTTGTGGTAGTCCAACTCTTCCCTGCATGATGAGGAGGAGACCAAATTTTGTGGCAGATACCTCCAAGAGTTCCAGATGGAGAAACGGACACAGGATCACTGATTCCAGTTTTCCTGACATCCTGTTACTCCCATACCCTATCACCAGAACCAGTATCAGACTCAAAACCACTGTCCTAGATTTCAACCTGAAGAAAAGTTGTTAGAATACACATCTTATCCTTTTTCTAAAACACAAGATGAGACAAGACAGAAAAAAAATCTCCTAGCCAAGACTTCACAATTTAGTTCTATCTACTCATGGCCAACTGCAAAGGCAGCATGAAAATCCCCTGGACCTGGCTTTGGATATGCTATTGAAGCATAAGGAATTTGGAAAATCCTTTTTCTCTTTGGTCAAAACCTCATATGTAACGAATATTGTATTAACTTAGATTTTAAAAAATCCCATTTTGGTGAAAAAAGCTGAGCATAAACTGCAATTTTTTCTTTTTATGCCTATTTTAACTATCCAAATACCTGCCTAAGGCAATGGATTACTCTGAGGAGTGGAAGAAGAGCACACATATGGAAATGTAAAAGAGAAAAGCACGTTCATTTAAAGTATTTCAACCATAAGTGTTATCCCTGTTTACACACGTTTCTAAAAACAAAGACACATTTACTTTCAACTGCTTATAGAATATCCATTAAAAAATGGCTCAAAGAAAATTTTAATAAATTTCAGAACTTAAATATTTTACAGGCCACATCTCTGCCCCAAGTTCAGTTAAGCTAGAAATCAATGGAAGTATATAGAAACATAATAAAAACACAAACACAACCACTTTATTTTTCATTTTTGTTTAAATTTTATGTCAATAGTTTTTGGAAAACAGGTGGTTTTTGGTTACATGGATAAGTTCTTTAGTGGCGATTTCTGAGAATGGGGTGCACCCATCACTTGAGCAGTGTACACTGTACCCAGTGTGTAGTATTTTATCTCTCACCTCCCTCCCACCCTTTCTGTCATTTCCCCACAGTCCATTATATCATTCTTATGCCTTTGTGTCCTCATAGCTTAGCTCCCACTTAGAAGTGAGAACACACGATATTTGGTTTTCCGTTCCTGAGTTACTTCACTTAGAGTGATGGTCTCCAACTCCATCCAGGTTGCGGTGAATGCCATTATTTTGTTCCTTTTTATGGCCAAGTAGTATTCCATTCCAGATAGATAGATAGACAGACAGACAGACAGACAGACAGATAGATAATCACATGTTCTTTAGACTGCTCGTTGGTTGATGGACATTTAGACTGGTTCCATAATTTTGCAACTGTGAATTCTGCTGCTATAAACATGTGCAAGCAAGAGTCTTATGACTTCTTTTTCTCTGGGTAGATTGCTGGATCAAATGGTAGTTCTACTTTTAGTTCCTTAAGAAGTCTCCATACTGTTTTCCATAGTGTTTGTACTAGTTTACATTCCCGCCAGCTGTGTAAAAAAGTGTTTCCTTTTTATTACATCCATGCCAACATCTATTTTTTT